TGGTTTCGGAGATATAACGAAAAAAGTAAAAAAAAATGCCATTTGGCGGTCAAAAATGATCATTAGACATATGCACATCAAATTATCAGATATTTTATAGAGATTTTAATAATAAGTATAAATTTTGCTAACATTCCTATGGGTTCCGTACCAATGTTTACCCGTTAGACAGCGACGCGGCGCTTACGCGCTTTATATTTTGTCTCTATGCATTTAAAGCAGTACGATTGCTTTGAAAAAAAGTTCAGATCTTCCAACATATGTCAAAATAAAGAAAACATTTTTATTTCAAAAAAAAATTAAAAAAAAAATATTTTAAATAATTTTTTTTTTTCAATTTTTTTTTTTCAAAAAAAAGTAATTTTTTGTCAAATTTATAGTTTCTCAAAAATCTTATTTTTTCGAAGTAATTTTTTTTCAAAAATGTTAATAGTTTTTAAAAAAAAATAATAATAATTTTTGGTACGGGAAGTTCCAGCAATTTGCCTTAAGGCACGATGCCCTAACTGCCTTAAGACAGAATTCCACTTACAGCTAGTTGTATTAATATTTGTCTTAAGAGCAAAGCTATACATGGCAATTGTACACTATCAAAGTGGCAGAGAACTCCATTGATGGTATCGATGAACAGAAACCTAGAATTACTAAGCAGACTAGTACTATAAGCTGAAATCATAGATATTTCAATAAATATAAATGGCTACTACGAGTGAACTGAGAGCTGTTCATCAACTTAAATCTATATTGTACGTTCTGCAACGCAGTCTACAGCGAGCAATATTGATTTGAAATTCAATATTTTGACGTCACTGCTCTCCTATAGATTACGTACTAACTATAAATAGTGTAAAAGTGCTTTCTCGATCTTTGGAACTTAGAATTCGCTATGTACCAGGCTACGAAACGAGCTGAAATTTATTGCACCTTAAATTTATATACATATATATGGTATATATATATATATATATATATATGTGTGTGTGTGTGTGTGTGTGTGTGTATGTGAAAGAGCCTATGTAGAAGACAGCATATTCCACATTCACCACAAATCTACCACATTTAGTTTGTTGTCCGCAAACAAAACACAACTTCAGTTCAAAATATAATTTTTGTGCTATTCAAAAGTTTAATCTGGAATTATTAGCATAATAAATACATAATATTTATGAAGTTTTTTATTAAAATGAAAAATATAGGGTAGAGTGGCTTAAAGGTCCGCGGCATAAAAGATCCACCATCGATATTTCGGTTTAGAAATTCTTCACCAAAAATATTTGAAAGTAGTGGGAAAAAATGTAATAACCAGACACCACCCTCGATTATTATTTCGTTGCTATCGGGAGAAAAACGGCAATGTTTATTTATTTTTTTGCCTCGCTTACTCGAGCTTTTAGCCACCTACAACATTACTTCTATACACTCATTTCTACACAATCTTCAATTTTATACTATCTTCTTCATGTAAATTTTATTATTCTTTATACTTTTTCAACTTATCTTCATTCTTCTTTACTAGCCACTCATTTCATCTTTTAAGGTCATCTTACTTCTTCTACTACTTTAATTCATTTAATTCTAATTCTCAAAATGTTATACATGATTCAGATTATTTTTACATACATATTAGATATTACAATTCCTAACTCTATTATAATTCCAAATTAACTACTTAATAAATTGGATTTTTTGCCCTGCTCTACCCTATGTAGATATGTGATTGAGTGCCGAAACGATGTTTATATTCCTTTCATACTAAACTTCCTTGATTTTTATAAAAAATATTTAAAAACTTTGTCGGCGACAAAGTGTCGCACAAATATTTTGCAATTAATTGTTTAAAGCAATGATTCAATTAAAAATTTAAAGCAAATAATAAAAATGCTTAAAGTTTGAAATTTTATTCGATATAATTTAAAAGTTTTTTTCTAATGTATTAATCAAACAAGATTATTAAGATGCTAAAAATCAGACTGCAATATTAGTTTTGATCATGTATTTTCCATAAATAAGGCACTCCTATTTTACTACTCTATACTACAATTACCCAAACAAATTTAGGACAAGACGAATTAATAGAAGGTTATAATAGAATTTTGTTGCAAATTCCAAAATTCCAGACGATGTAATAAAATTATAACTTCTACTAATTTTCATGTAATATTCATTATAAATATTCATATTTTTCTATAACCCACACATGATATAAACGTTAATATGCTAATTTTATTTATTTTACTCATATAATCAATTCAAATTATTGTGTAATGGAATACATTTTAATTGACCAAATTATTTATTTATCATATAACGCAGGATTCGGACTGTTTTCCATTATTAAATATCAATTATGATTTTGTTTGAATTCAATTTATATGAATTTTTAATTTTTCCACTATCGAGTGTAGAGTAATGCACTTTAATGGATTGCACTTATTTTGAAATTATACTATCGTTTGGTCGATATTTATATCAATTAGTGTACATAAAATATTCTGCAATTGTGGATTATTTTTACTGGAAGGTGGAAAAATAAAATCACTTATTATCGTTATAAAATGCATGTTGACGTTAACTAACGCTTTTAATTCGTAATTCAATTGTCTTTTTATAGCAATAAATTAAACAAATGTAAGTCAATTTTGAAATGAACTAGGAGGATATTCAAAGTCAAATACAATTTATAATATTCAAAATATTATCAAAAGTATTTCCTGCATGCGGATTTAATTATTAACTACTAATAATTATGCAAAAAAGCAAAGTTACTTTTTGATAACACTAATATAAAACATGATCTTTATTAAACCGAGTATGCAAGCAATTTTCGAAAAAAAAACAGTAAAATTCGTAAAGTTCACATAATATGGCATAGTAAACTTATCGCTGAGAACATTAATAAGGTGACCACACTTCCCGGATTGACCGGGATTGTCCCGGATTTCCACCTCGCATCCCAGATTTTTCTATGAGGAATATTTGTCGCGAGATTAAATTTTTGTTCCGAAAAGCCATGAATTTTTCAAAATGATCTTATTTTCGATATTTAATAAATAATTTTGATGATTAGTTTTTGGCAAGACAAGACTAGCCGTTTTGGAGATACAGAGCAAAAAGTGCTGAAAATGGGAATTCAGTTTTTGCGATAATGAGGCATCCGAATTGATTTATTCCAAATTCATTCGATTTGTGTTGATGGCGAGATACAGAGCAAGAAGCACTAAGAACTACATTTTTGAGAAAGAGCATCCGATTCTTATGGTTCCATGAATATTACACTTGTGTTGACCGGGTGAAGAAACAATTAGTTTTTGGAGAAGGCAAAAGATTTTCATTACTTCAAAGCTCATATTTTTTTTTTTTTAAAAAAAAACAAATTAAATATCGAAAATGATTCGGATTTTAATTTTAATTCTAGCTAAAGTTCTAAAGCCCACTTATATACTTAACATTGAATAATTATAACTTTGCAATTCAGTTCAAATAATTTTTAGAAATATGATATAAGACCCTTCATTCTGACTCCGATTGATCAAGTTTTGTTTATTCACTTTTCATGTAAATATGTATAAACGCGGTCGTCCAATATATAAGCTCTTATATTTTACCGACAAAATACGAATAATGAAAGTTGCAGTAGTAATAATAATCTATTTGAAACCATTTAAATTTCTTCGAATTCTTCATTACGGTACGGAAAGTTCCAGAAATTTGCCTTGAGGCACGATGCCATACACCACTAGTTAACAAATATCGATATAAATTTCATGTTGAGGCTGCCAAATATTGTAGTTTGTTCAAACATGTACTAATTTTTTCAACGTGTGTTTTAAATTACAGGTTTTAAAAAGATAAAACATATAATAACGAGTTCAAACTACTCATTAGCAATCAAGCAAAGAGTGATTAACTAATAAATTTTAACTTACTATTTAAATCCCAAAAAGTTATAGTTACCCAGTACGATAATTCAAGTTAACATGACAGGATAAGCAGAAATATGATAATATTTATGCAAATGTGAACAATGCTTGTGAAGCAACAATACTAATCGTGCATTTGCAATGTGAATGTCACAGTGTGTAATCTTTGAATAATTGGTTCTTACGCGAACGTGATTTCCATAATTTACGAGAACTTACAATTAACTTCATACGATGTACCTCATAATGAATCATCTCGAGAAATTCTTGCGGTATTCTAAAAATAACATAAGTAGCTACAGAGTAATATATATTTCCGTAATTTAAATTATTCACTTAGTTTCATAATATCCTTTCATTAATTACAGTAGTAAAACTAATATCACCAAGCTCGTTGAATTTACACGAATTAATACCCTCTTAAAAATGTCTTTTGCATCTCCCATATCATATAAATTAAATTAATTATTAATTAAATAAATCTAGTTCAAATGTTCTGCAGTATTAAATGTATCTATTCTAAATCGATTGTTTTGAAATCCAGGTAGTAATAATAGCGTAGAGCGGGGCTTAGAAGTCCGCGAGTAAAAAGGTCCACCATCGATATCTCAAAAACAAGTAAAGTTAAGAATTTTATTCTATCTAAAGTAATTTCCGGAGTAATGAAGTTAAAAAATTAATTCCTCTTACATATCAGATACCCAAATATTTAGGGTTTATTATTAAAGATGCTTGAATTATTTTAAAGTTTTGAGTAATTTAATATTAGCAGTATAACGTGCTATATAAAGTATTGGTTTTGGTTAAGAGAAACGAACACAATTTTCTTAATAATGAAGTTATTACAAAAGCGCACAAGAATACTCTGCTCGAGGGTTTTCATAAATATGCCGCACGGGTTTGGATAATAAGGAAACATGTTTCTATTAGAATATTGGAAGCCAAGTATAAAATCTATAGGAGATTACAAATCATAGAAAAATATGAGCTTCTTATAAACATACATACATATATATATATATATATATATATATATATATATATATATATATATTGATATACCTATTTACGTATATGTACCTGGTGTGCTTCAATCTGCAAGAAGTTCACAAAATCTGCCAGATCAGCGATTTATATAAGATTTATTTCATGAACTAATGTAGAAGGATGTTCAGTGTAACCAGCATGTCAACCTGAAAACATAAACACAATTAATTCATTTTTAGTTGACACAATATTTCTGAAATATTAAATTAACAAGCAAGTAATTAAATTTTTCTCTTGACAATATTGAGCAAAAATATTGTTCAGAAAACATCAATGTTAATAGATCGCTAATGGTAATAGACCCTTTGGCGTAGTTTGAAAGGTCGTTATAATTATAATTTTCAAAGAATTTTAAATGGCATTTATTTCTAGAGTTACAATTATAAAAGCGCGAGAAACATTTTATAAAATGTTATATTATCATGCTGTAATGTCTTGCATGCGGATGTGTTTTCATATTATTAAGATTATAATAGCATTTTTCTATGAAATTCATTTAAAGTCGCTAATGTGTTAAAAAGACACAATATTGATTATTAGGAATTGTTAAATAGACAAATTAGTTGAATATAAACCTGCTGCATCTCTTATAATCATTATTCGTACAACAGGTAAACTAAATTCAAGTCAGTCAATATTTCATAATCATTATTTGAAGTCTAGTAAGGAGCGTCCACTAATCAAAGGAGGCTTAAAACAGAGGAAAAGGTAAGATATCACGTGTATTTATTTTTCATCTGAATTTCATAAAAATTCAAAAAAAAAATTTAACGTTCTTCCACGGTACTAAAAATACACGTGATGTTTGGTGGAGGGAGGAGGCCTAATTTCAAACATCACCAAAAGGTGAGGAGAGGTCCAAAAATCCTTCAAAATCGATCATATGATTAATGGACTATCTATTGTCATATAACTAATTGAGATACAGTTTTATTTAGAAGGCACCCTACTAAGTGTTTCTTTCTAATTGTGATACAGCAGCAGCTCTGTACGAAACGACGGAATGGCTCTTTTCACTTGGACCACCATATTTTCCACCATAAAAATCGATATCATTACTGCTGGATATCTGGCCGTCCGGAAAGGTCAAACCCAACCCTTCAAACCCGACATTTCGACCTACCAAAAAACTACGACTGAATACTAAACTTCAAGACGTATTATTTTGGCATTTATCTAACAAATTTATCTTTGCACAAAAACTATATAGTGAATATCACGAATGGACGTAGAGCCACATTGAATCATATTATCTCATCAACCAGAGGATAAGCGTCAAATGTGCCAAAAAGCACCTCGCGGAAATAGAGAAAAACTTTATTTTATCCAATAGAGTCTACTGCATTTTTAAACGTGGGATCTGAAATAAATGAAAGAAAACAATTTTCTAGTCTGAACCGTGCAGTACAATTTTTGATAAAATGGTTAGTAAATCGAAGTCATTAATACCAAAAAAAATATTTAAGCAATTTTTTTATTTTTATTTATTCATAGGCTTATAATTACTGTTGCTTGTTTCCTAATGTTATTGGGTGTAAAACTGTAGAAAAAATTCGGCCCATAGAGGGTTAATATATACTGGATTTATCTTGTAATACTTATATATTTATTTGAACGTGAATACAATTTATTTTATACAAAATTTAATGAAACAATATTTAATCAATGAATAATATATGCGCAAATTAAAACTTGGAAGCATCAAAATGAGCGAATTACTTAAACAGTTGCCATTGAATTAATAAATAACTTTATAGCAGGTATAAATTCTTTATTGATTCGTCGATATTTAGTAACGACAGGTAAAATACACTTGAAAGCAATACATTATTAGATAAGACTTTTTTGGTTCTTATGAAATGAGTTCTTGATAAGAAACCACTCCAACTGATATGTTGGCCGAACAAATGATAACTATAATAAATCAAATTATTTATCTTATCGATTGCTTTATAAAGTAAATGAAATATTTTCATTTGATATTAGCAAATAAAAATGTTCTTGTTTCAATGTAAAAATACTATTTTCAAAATAATAAATAATATTACAATTGATCGTTAAAAAGCCGATATATTAAAGTTAATTATCAAATAAATTTTTGTATTTTCACAAATATGATATTTTTAAAATATATATATATATAAGTAATAAAATCAAAATAATTTAATATTATTATTACTTTATTAGTCTGACAATTCGAGCTTTTGTACAACTATGTTCCATTTTTTGTTAAATATTATCATTTATTTCTCATTAATATTCTATTAACCATCACTCTTTTTACAGGTATGAATCGATAAAAAAATTGGAAAACCGTACATAAAATTAAGGCTTGGCTGGATTGATTAGACTTTATAGAGAATTTGATGACGGATATTATATTTACTAATTTGGTGTTTACTTTCGGCTTTTTTATTTCAGACGCGGAAGTTGTACAACTACCAAAGAAATACTTTATATACCTCTTTAGATAAAAAAAAGTTATTAATCAAATAATGTAATAGAATGGAAATATGAAACAAATGTTTCTTAAGACTTAACCAAAAAAAATATTATTATGATATGTTCATTCCTTTCGCATTTATGGCATAAAACTCAATTTAGAAATGCTTTACACAACAAATTAACTGCATTTTAGGTAAAAAGTTAGAATTGTCTTTTTACAATAGAGTTATTATTTACAAATCTGTTCTAAAACTTGTTTGCTCCTTGGTACACAACTAACTAAATAATCCGCCAAAACTTGGGTGTACCTTTCATTAAAAATGTCATCAAAGATAGATGGAATATTTATCACATAAAAATTCACAACCATAATATACTTTTACACCCTTTTTGTAATACTGCAACCTTAAAAAGATTAAAAGACGCAGACCTCAATAAAAAATTTTAGATTCACTTTCAGAAGTGTCTGAAGAACTAAATCACTCGTCTTCAATACAACTTTCAACTAGTTATATTGCAGAAAAGCTTACAAAATAAAATTATATCTTGATTGCTATAAAAATTATACAAGAGAATCTTTTTGCATCGGTTTTATTAGTCGCTAGGTAATAAGTTGAAATTTGTGCAACTATAAACGATACCTATTAGTTAACTCCCTTCAGAATAAAATATGCAGATTTCAAAATATTTCATTACAAAAATTTACTGCTCAAGAAGATATATTGTACAAAAATAAAATATTGCATAAAAATTCATGTCTTTAATATTTAATATTATCATAATTCAAATGGATTTTTTATTAATATTATTATAGCAACTAGAACTAAAAAGTCCTATAAGCTTGTTGTGATGGCTTCTTAATAACGTAAATTTTATAAAGCTACCCAAAGGATAAAAAAAAAAATATTTAGGATAAATCCATTTGATGACTTTATTTTCACGATTTCTGTATTACTGATGAGTTTTTTATTGATGCATCAATGCCGGAAGGCTTAGAAACATATTTTTATCAACATCAAAAGTAAAAACCGATGCCACTACTGCTTGACATCAGCCCTTTCAAGAAAGCCCATACAAATGAAATGACGCTGAACTAAATAATATACTATAAATAAAAAATTCATTTGAATGTTAAAGCATAATACAAATGGTTTTTTGCAGCAAAACAAATTGATTTTACCAGTCCGGAAAAATGTTTACTCTAAACTTTAATAAGAAAATAAATCTCAAATATTAAATCATGAATTGCAGCTTTACCGTATATATATAAACACAATAAACAATGAGAGTCGTAAATTAATTGCTACAATATGCAGGTTAAGATTTAACCACAATTATTCTGCTGCATATCCGAGAATAAAAGGGATGGTAATAAATAGATTATGTAAGCATAGTATAATATATATATATATATATATATATATATATATATATAATATATATATATATATATATATATATAAGGTAGGTCGAGGGGCATAAAGATCAATTTGACTATCAATTGTTATTTTTTATTTATTTATTTATGGCTTTTAATCTTTCGATCATTTCGCCATTGTCGAAATGTATTTTTTGCTGCTTGTGAAGAATTTGTTACCTGGTCCTTTTTACCCCATAGGCGAGGTAAAATGGGATGGTCAGGGGGCGAACAGATCCAATGTCTTACTTTTAATTTTAAAGAGATTTTACAAAATAATAGCATTATTTAACCAATGCAAAATATAAATTTCATTCTACATTTTAACAAAGATAACACTATAATATAACCTAGGGCATTTTGACAGAAATATTCATCAACACAGTTGGAATAATTATTTATTTAACTTATTGCTCAAAAAATTGATTTTTTAAACTTAATTTACTTTTTGATTTGCTATTTATTATTTACAACTTTGCAAATTATCCTGGATAAAGGTTCAGTTGATCCTTTGCACCCGACTCACGAGTAAGCTTTTATATAGGTTTTATGAGAAAACTGTTGAATCTACCTTCAAATTAACAATACCTATATATTATAAATCAAATTATATTTATTTATACTAGTAAAGTTATTAACTTTACTTGTTTCTGAGATACCGGTGGTAGACCTTTTTACCCGCGGAACACTCTGCCATATATCTCGTATGTAGAATTAAACACCACAATTAAATAAGCTCAAATATTATTTAAAAACATGCGTTATTTCTGTAAAAGTGTAAAATATGTAGCAAGTAATAAATAAAATTATATGCACGATGTTTATATGAATCTAACAATAAGCATATAATCATGGTTAAACTATTTTTTTAAAGTAAAACACACATTCTATTTGTAGATGTTAAATATAAAAATTCTTTCCTCTATAAATTTTAAACTGCGACAATTGAAATTATGATCTTAACATTCAGAGCCTTTATTCAATGCATTTTATTTCAAAACGCTTCTCTATTCATTTTAAGAAATATTTTGATATTGCGAATAAACCGTTTTTTGAAATAAAAATCTTAAGGATGATACAATTATAGACCTTATTATCTTTCTCAAGTAATAAAGTTAAGCAATTTCTTTTACTTAACTCACACTGAATTTTACAAAGCAGTTTCATTTAATATTAAATATTTTAACACAAAAACATCATTCAATTATTAATTGGCGCTCTTTGAACTACATCACCGGTTTTATTTGAATTGAAATAAAATACAAATTTTTATATGTATCATTT